GATTGGTTCTAATAATCTGGTGTTTGGTGTTTAAAGTTATAACAGTTTTATATAGCATTTAAAGACAGTAATGCTACATGATCTATGGATTAGTAAGAGTATAATATGTTGTGAAATATTCTGCTTGAGTTATAGATTCATTCGCATATGATATCAGTATTTATTATGCTTTAATAATAAAATAAAAAAAAAGTTTACAACAATTGATCAAGAAAAAAGCTGTTGTGTTTCATCACCACATCACCAAGGCACAAGTATATGTATGTCACACGCCTGAATAAGTTGAGAGAAGCAGTGAGCTTCTCTCAGTAGCAGTGAAAGAGCAACATATTTTTTTAGTTAACGCCGTAAATTTTTACTTGGACTTTAGGTGTCCTAGTAGAGCAATCATTTGAAGTGACCAGCTGATTCACTTCTTATGGGAGTAACTCTTTTAGGATCAAATTTCTTACATTTAGCAGCGCTGTTTAACTTAAGCTCAAATTTACTGATTATCTCTGAAGGACTGATGGGGCTAATAAGAGCTTGATTGTCTCTGCATAAACTATTTTACTTTCCGTAAAAAAATTAATAAAAAACTTTTTTGATTATTTCAGCACTATACACTAAAAGCTAATGCTAACGGCAGTTTGATTTTTAGTTGGTTTTTCAAAAGTATGATTCTTAAAACTATTAAGAGAAGACGAAGTAGAGTAACAAATGTTTTCGAAATCGCTATATAAGTAATTTTGAAGAAAATACATGGTTTACCAGTTATAGTAGTGAAAATCCGTTAAATCTACTGTCCCTTACTCTGTCCGAATAGTTAGCAAATGGTCTTCTAGACATTGGGACCACTTCATTTGTAGTCATTCATTTGTATAGCTTCCACTGTCTTTTTATTGCAGTAACTCCATATAGCTGGGATTAATGGCTGGGATCTGGGAACAACTCATTCCTGAGAGTGTGTTTCAGTGGGTTCAAGTTTTATGCTGTAGCTTTGGATGCTTTTCATGTATAGCAAAAAAAGAAAAACCTAATTTATACGAATTAATTCAATACTTTATATTAGATTGTTTCCTAAGAGTTTGTATTGCCCTTGAGAGTTGTAGTCCCTAAAGTCCTACTATTTCTATTTTGATCAAGCAAATAATAAAATTTGTGTATTGTTAAAGAATTTTTTCTTTTAAATTTGACTTTCGTTTCAAAGCATTTGGGAAAAGAAATAAAAAGAACCGATTACCTAGTAACCTAAAATGTGGAGTGGAGAAAAGGTCCTGAAGCTGCTCTTGTAAGTGCTGAGTTTAATTTTGATTGTTTTTTAATTATTAAAAGTCAACTTGAACACAAAATTTTAAACAATAAAACAAAATGAGAAATTAATAAATTTATAATTAATTTGTTTACTTACTTATAATGAAGGAGGTAAAATGACAAACAAAAAGTCCCTTTTAAGCTTTTTAAATAAAGTTACTTAACCGTCAAAGTTAATGTTAGCAAAATGAAAATTAATGACTATTAAATTTGACCCACAATTCGGAGAGATGGAAAAGGGAAAGAAAATAATTTTTGTTTTGATTTTTTGCTGTAATTGAATTGAAACGGTTTTCCTTTCATTTTGCTTATTTGCTTTTCTTTATATTAATTTATTTTATTTTTTTTTTTTTGGTTATTTTTTTTTTGTCTATAAACTTAAAAGCAAAATGCGAAATTGTTTAAAACAAAAACTTTTAGTTGAAAATGGATGTTATGCTTCTGTACCTCGCATTTCCGCAAGAGCTTAACAAAAACGGCTTTTCTTTTAGTTTCTCCTTCTTTAATTCTCATTTTAACGAAACCTTGGTTTTAAGCAAGAACATGAAAAAGTAAAGGAAAGATGAATATTAAAAGCAAAAGTCAGCATCAAAT